ATGATCAAAACCACCACAGTGATTAGCCTCTTGGCTATCTGCCTAGAGTTATGACAAGAATGCAACCGTTCGTCATAATGTGAGCTATGAACTTTTGCCGCTTCAAAGTCTACGATGCTACCCTCCCCAAGAGCAACGAAATTCGAACCATTCGATTTCCGCGGTCCAACTGCTCAAAAAAACCGCCCGCTAAACTAAGTGGAAAATGTTGTCAATGATTTAACCTCTAGCTGAAAAAATTAGAACTTTAGATAAAGAATCCTGTCACAGTGATAATGTAAGAAAAGTCTTACAGTAACAGATCTGATTTTTCGTTATGGACGGCATTTGCATGTAGCATACAGGTCACCCAACGTAACATAAGATGAGTTCCGCATCAACCTCGTTCCCAGGGCCTTTTCTTCTCGCTTTTTTCAAGATGGCTTGCATTCTCGTTCCCACACTCCTGGCTACTTATTAGTCAAATCGTAGGTTCTGGGAATTCACCTTTTCGGCGCTAGCTTGGGTTGTGTTACGGTCACCAAAAAGTTCGGACATTGTTCTCGGATTCCCATGCAAATTCACTGACGGCTTGTTTACGTCTTTTATTTACAACAGTTTATATGCCCCACAAACGGAGTTTGATTCAAGATTCCAAAATATAGTTAAACCGTTCTTGTTGATTATATTTGTCTGGCTTGGTTTCCGTTGGTATGTTTAATTATGCTATTGACCAATCAGAGTTCGTTGCTATGTTGTTTTCAACAGCCAATGAATGAAATCATTGAATTTCAGGGTTTTCGAAGTGAGGAGGCTCTAACGAGAAGAGAAGGCCCTGGGAACGAAGCTGGTTTATAAAGAGCCTGTGCTTTTCACTGACAGTTGGCAATCAAAGGACCAAATTCCTTCCGGACTACAGCCATCTGCAGCTGCAAGGGATCAGGTTCCACCCAACAACTAATTAGGTGCATTGCTTTCGGATAATTGGAGTCCTGTCAAACAATGGTGTAGAATATAATCCAGTGCACAAATGAACTTTCCGACATGTGTTACCAAAGTGACTACCTTAAGCACATCTCCCACGATAATTTAACTGCAAGGAACTATTTTCCCTTTATGATATGGATACTACTTTTGGTAATTTATACAGTTTTGCAGAATTTTGAATGTGATGTGGGTAGTTTGTAATAGATAGCCAATATCCAACCATCTGTCGAACTATTGTTTGCAGTGTTTTATAATGGTTCTTTACCTCAATGAGGATTATTACCCTCCAAAAAATGCGTCGCTATTTAATAGGGTAAGAGATCATCATCCTTCATCAATATATGCTGACGTACTTCCCAAGGCACAATGGTTACGAAAGCATACTACGTACGCACAGACAAATTAATATATTAAAGTTAAATGCTGGATTCCTGGCTGGATCATAAACACACGTACTAAGCGCGGCCGTACTAAGAACGTCTGACATTATGCATTTATTATATGTGGCACGTGTTGCCTTTTGTTTAATATGTCAAAGCATCCAACCAAGACGTCAAATATTCGTTAAGGTATCCTAAAATATAGATAGTCAAGAATATCTAAAACACTATATGACCTAAAGGTTTAAATAATTGAAAGTCATATTAAAAGTAAGTTTCTATATTTTTACAACTGAGGATTTTTTTTTTTGACAAATCTATTAAATATTTGCATACAATAGATGATTAATTGACCAATAAGATCATTTTGAAGCGGAACTATGATTGTAGTCTTGACAAGCCACGAACCAATCATCGTCGACAAGAGGCTTTGTTTTCCCGCCTTTGAGTTATAATTTTGCTCAAAGACTTTTGAACAGCGTCTTTCACTTTCTGATTCTTCTTCTTTCACTTTGGTTGTTGTCAAAAGTACATCTTAATTTCTTCCTTGTTGTTGCTCTTAAAATGGCAGACGAGTGTGCAGAATTGAAGAGAGACTCCACTATGACTGTAACAGCAAAGGTTTGTTTTGTGTGCTCGTTTTGAATGGAATTTTACGTACTCCCCCGAAAAACTCTTTGGGGAAGAAAAAAATAATCACGGATGTTCTCTTTCGCTTCTTGAATAAAGGAAGGCGAAGCGTTCTTGGAAACTAAGGGGAAAGTAGACGAAAATGCCAAAACAAGAGGCCAGCAAAAAGAAATTGAGGAAAACAAAAACGATGGAGAAGGAACATCGCCTAACAAATTGTCACGAACAACCACCATGACAGCCACCGCCAAGGTAAGCTTTACATTACATACACCAGTGACTTGAATTGCAGTGCTGTCAAAATCTTTCGCGTCTTTATTTTTAAGGAATAAGCTTGACTTCCCTTGTTGTTTATTCCTAGGAGGGGAATGAATTCATTGATGGCGAAGAATTAGGGAAAACTAGGGCACAAACAGATAACCTTCAAGAAAAGGAAGAGTTCGAGGAAGAAGCCACCGAAGAAAACGGGAACGAAGCAGAAAACGAGGAAAAACCTGCTGTTAAGCGAGCAGGGACTATGGTAGTGACGGCTGAGGTAAGTTAGAGTTCTAGCATACTAGACTTCCTACTGTACGAGAAATACTAGTAATGTTGCTGGTAATTTTTTGCAGGAAGGCGCCGCTCTTTTAGAAGGACATGATGCAGAAGCTGGCACACGTGCCGAAGCTAAAGCAGTCAAAGAAGCAATAGAAGAAAGCGCTGAACAAAATGGACAGAAAGAAGACGAAGAGAAACCTGATCTTAAGCGTAAAAGTACCATGGATGCTTCTGTTGAGGTAATCGTACGATATTTATTTGAAAACTTTTTGTTGTCTACCAGTTTGAAAACCGACCGGTTCTCTTTTGTTGTTAGTAATTTATGCAAAATTGTTTGAATGACTTTTGCGCCAATTTTTAAGAATATAAAAATAGGGGCAAAGATTATGGCAAAAAAAAGTTACGTATTCGCTTTCGTAGCCGGAAAATCCTTTCAAAGACGTAAAACAATTCGAGAAATATAAAATCTTGGAGCGTTTGGCCATTGTGAGGAAAGCGTTCGCATGTGTTCCACGCGAGAGACTTTGTTTGTTCTTGTATTATTGTTCATATTTTAAAAAGTACTGTACGTAGAAGAATATGCAAACCCTTGGGGATTTAACTGCACACAAACTCAATTAATCGTTATTAACACAGGACTTTATGAATATTTTATATCAAAGTTGTAACTACTTTGCTCGAAGTCAACTTTCGGAGAGACGCAGTTTGATCAAAAGCATTCCAGGAACTCATAATTTCCCAAGAAATGTGTTGATTCTTTATACCTTAAATTATTTTTTCAATTGCGCCACCCGGAAATAAAGTTTAGTTGTTTAATTATTTGATATTTGGAATTTAAAGGCAAAAAGCACGGAAGGAGTTAATAATAGGAGTCGGCTACATTTTGTTTATGAATGATTATGATTTTGAGCAACGGACGGTGCTGTTTATCATTGTTATGTAAATGTTTTTGTATTTTTTGTTTTAAATTTTATGGTAAAATTCTTTTTTTAAAGAGAGGTCGAAAATATATAAGCATTATAATGTTAATATTTAAAAAAAGATTGATCCTTTCTTTTACTAGTTTTTAAATTTTTTTGATATTCCATGTTTCTATTTTGCTGTAAAGGTACCAGAAACAGAAGTTTTAGTAAACCCTTAAATTACTATTCGATTTTGCTTTTTATTACACGTTTAGGGTCGATATCAGTGTGATAAAGCCGTGAATAAAAACCATATTAGTGAAGTGATACAATATCACTCACAGTGAACTGAATATTGTAAAGTTTGTCATTTTATCGAACCTAAATGTGTAATAAACAAATAACTGCACTATATCGTTTAGATTCACTTGTTTTTCCATATGATATCACTTACTCGCTTGCAGACTTGATTATTGTGATATGATATGGAAACTGGTGAATAAAAACAATATCAAGCTCTTAACATGTGATAATCTCTATACATCTTTACATACTAGAGAATCACTTTTTTAAAATCAAAATAGCTATTATTTCTCAACTTCGTATATGAAGCTGGGTTTGAAACCATGGCATTAATGTCATGTTATGTTTGTCAAACTTTAGGAAGGACAAGAATTCATCAAAAAGACAAAGGAAAGTGATGAGCAAGAAGTCAAGGCATAGATCTTTCGTTCTGATGAGACTCCTACCAAAAGACTTTAGTAAACTCTTCCATGACAGTATTCATAAGATATGTACTACAAAAAGTGTACATTTTACCATCATATATATATTATATATTATACATACCAAACTGAATTTTTAAGTATTCTAATTGGATTTGGTTATTTTCTTTTTATTGTTGTATATTCAGAAGCCACAAAGTCTTTTTATATAATGCTATGTTTGTGCTTATTGTTAATTGTGCCAGATGCAATTTTTGCCAGATGATAAAAATATCTATATTATATATCCCCATTTTGTAATATGCCATTTGATTATTGAACTTGTTACATATAGTGCAGATATCCTATTGCTTAAAAGTCATTTTAATACCATCCTTAAATCAATAAAATAATGAACTGCTATTCTAGAATTTTAAGACTCACTTTTGACTGACTGGAAATGCTAATGCATGGGGTGGTGTAGTGGTTTACTGCTCTCCTATCAGTGAGGTAGTCTGGGTCTAAAGCCCTGGCTCAGACTGGATTACGTGAGTTGAGTTTGTTTGATGTGTTATTTTTCCTTGCCACAAGGGTTTTTCTCAGGTTTTTTTTTGCTTTAAATATACTAAGAATGTAGTGGTAGTTCATGTGGAGGGAACCTCAATTGAGGGGAATATATAAATAAGACATGCATACTCAGACACTCAAAATTAGGAATATAAAATGTTATTGGGCTACAAGTGTGGACTTGGTGCTTTCATGTTAGGTGAAATTCTATTTCAAATTATGTACAAAATACGTAATTTTGATTTGATCCCATTTTCAGATTTCTTTATTTTCCCTAAAATTTGAGTATTTTATAATACTTTCAAGAAACGAAATGAAAAAGGGGGTCCCTGCTTTTTTAATAATATTTTGTTTATCAAAACATTGGAATGATGTCATCACGATGAGCACCTGCCAACTAAAGTCATGAGTAGAAAGGGTGCTCGGGGAACAATGCTCATGAACATCCTTAAAGACCCATTGCCACTTACCGTGATGCACCCCGGTCACAGATGAATTTCGTGGTCCATGAAATTCAAAGATTCATATATTGAATAATAACTTCATATTCAATCATTTTCCGACATAGCACTAAGGCACAATAATGATTCTTTTACATTCTTTTAAGAGTTTATTCAAAAGGTTGGAATTGTTTTTTCAGTGGTGACACGATTAAAAATGTAAACAAATTGTGATGCATCACGGTAAGTGGCAATGGGTCTTTAAGAGCTATCCATGAGAATCCATCCATGATGCAAACAACCCCAATGGAGAAGAAGCGGCTTGACATGATAAGCTGATGGCTACACGCAGCATGCATTTTATGATAAGTTATGTGTATTTGGGGATATTTTTAAAAGCATATGGCATGCATTTCTGACTGGTTGGGAAAAAAAATCTTAAAACGAGCTAAATTCAAAAAGTAACCACACAGAGTGAAAGAAGTGCTATTTATCAATGATCAGGTAAAATTTTGAGGCTTTATTTCACGTTTCAATGATTTTATTGAATTTTGTGATGAATCCCTATACACTTCCTTATAACAGGACACCACAGAAACCAAGCTTGGGCTACCTGTGATCAGAATTGAGAAAATTTGCAAAACTAAGGTGTCACTTCTCTTGAAATTATGGATTTCCAGGCCACCAATTCAAATGAAAAAGAATATTAATGAGAGGTTCAATAACTATTGTGTAGTTCCAAAAATTATCCATCCCCCCCCCCCCCAACGGAGGAATTTTTTTTAAACACCCCCTCTACCATCAGAAATTTCAATTTCCTTCCACAAATTCTGTAATTTTCGTTCTTTCTCTGACCCCCCTCCCCCTGATCCTTCAGAAATTCCAAATTCCACTATGGGATGGGTATGGATAATTTCTGGAACTACACATTGTGAGTTTTCTATATTTTTATTACAATGTAGGACAAGTTTTTTTTTTGTTTTTTTTCACTCAAATCAAGAAATATTTTAC